GTTTGTGTTTTCTGCATTCGTATATTACTTTCTGCTTTTTTATATTTTTGTTTTTTTGTATATCTCTGTTTATCTATTCTCTTTTGTATAATATATAATATTAATTTCGGGTGTTTTGTTTGTCTCCTCTTTATATTTATGAACAGCAAAATAACGAAACTAGTGTCGTGCCGCTGCAGCAGCAGCTGCATATCGATCCTATCACTCTGCTGCAGCAGCAGCAGCAGCAACAGCAGCAGCAGCAGCAGCAGCGACAGCAGCAGTGTGCTGCTCCCTCTACAGTTGTGCATTTATGTATCGATTAAGACGATGAACCCCCAACTATAACAGAAGAAACAATTTGTTTTTTATTTTTTATTTTAATTATTTTATTTTATTATTCTTATTATTATTATTCATTATTAATTTTTATTTTTTTTTGTTTCTTTTTGTCTCTGCGGAGACAACCGGATGTCGATTGAGGGGTGAGCAGTGGGGTGTATATACACCGCAAAATATAAACAAAAACAGAAACCTTATAAACCCTAATTAAACAACAACATAACACAGAGAACAGCATAACCACAAACATAAACATAAACATCATTGCATGTATACATGCATGCATGCAGTGTATATACACCTCACTAGATACCCCTGCATGCACGGGGTGTATAGGCAGCTCCTTCAGGGGAAACCGCACTGTGGGGGATCGAAGCCCCGCGGTGACCCCTCGCAGCAGCAGCAGCAGCAGCAGCAGCAGCAGGAGCAGCAGCAGCAGGAGTTGCAGCGAAGATAAAGAACTACGAGAGGTAAATAAAAAGGAAAATAAAAAAAATAAAAAATAAATAACAATGACATTCACGCTGCAACAGAGAGCAGAAGAGCACCGCAGCAGCAAAGGAATAGGATGATAGAGACAGAAGGAGACAGAGAAAGGAAATAAAGAGAGAAAACAGAAACAAAAAACAAAAAACAAAATAAAAACAAATAATATATGATATTTATTTGTATATATACATAAATATAAGAAAAAGAGCAGCAAAAGTGCAGCAGCAGTTGGGGTGTATAGGCAGCTCCTCCTGCTGCTGCTGCTGCTGCTGCTGCTGCTGCT